GCCTCCGCTCCCCGCGGCAGGTCCCGGGGCCCAACGCACCTTCGGCGGCCGAGGCGGAGCCCTGGGAGGCGGAGGCGGCCTGGGTCTGGGCGTAGATGGACAGCAGGGCCTCGTCCTCCACCGCGAAGTACACGGGCACGGCGGTCTCCATGGCCAGCATCTCGGGCTCGATCTCCATGAACTGCTGCAGGGCGGAGCGTGGCCGTGGGTGGGCGCTCGGGGCCTGCCCGGGGCTCCCGTGGGGTCCGCCCTCCCGAGGGCTGAGTGAGGGCCGGGCGGGGCTCACCCGCACCACGTCCTGGGGCACGGCGGCCATGGCCCGCGGCAGGATGATGACCACGGCGCCGGCCGACTGGCGCAGGGCCTTCTGGTACTGCTCGTAGGAGAAGTCCAGCAGCCGCACCAGCACGCAGCGCCGGCTCAGCACGTCCGCGTCCATCGTGCGTGCCTCCGTGTTGAGCACCGCGTTCCGGGTGCCTGCGGGCGAGGGCGGCCGTCAGCGCAGCCGGCCCCCGGCCTCCTCGCCAGGGCACCCAGGTGGCAGGACCCGAGAATAAGACCTGAGCGGGGCGGAGGAGGTGGGCACCGCGGGCTGGTGGGAGGACGGGACTCGGCAGCCTCCAGCCCTTGGGGACACAACGGCCAGGCTCGTTAAGGATGGTACAGCCTGCACGTGGCTCCAGCTCCCACAGGGACGGGCCCAAACACCCCGGGCAGGGTCAGGAGTGACACTCCCGGGACCCCAGGGCCAGCTTAGGGGTCTGACCCGCCTGACCCTGAAGCTCCCTGACGCGCACACGCATGCCTGTGCATGCTGACCAGGGGTTCCCAGGACGGCTCCCTCTGCCTCGCCCCTGGCACCCTGGAGACACGCACAGCAGGTGCCCGTGGGCAGCTCTGCACCTGGACACGGGCGGGATGACCGGCAGCCCTGGCAGGACCCGAGGGCACAGGGATTAGGGCTCCAGTGGCCACAGGGGGACGCACAATGTCCTAACCTGTGTCACACTGCCCAGGGGCCGAAAGTGACAGCCCCATGTGCCCCAGAGGGAGCGAGCCGCCCGACGTCTGTGGCCCTGGCCCCCATGGAAGTTCTCAACATCACACAGAGCCGAGGCCACCCCCACCCCAAGGCGGAGGATGGGGCTTGGTGCTCCGCGCCGTCTGGGGAGCACCGGGGGCCACCTGCGGTGGACAGAGGAGCGGCCCGGCCGGGGTGGGGCCTCGAGGAAGGCCTTGGGCTCTGTGGTGCCCTCCCTGTCCCTGCCTGTCCAAGGCTGGAGCCTGCAGGGGGGGATTCGGGACCCTCATCTGGGGGAGGCCTGCCAGCTGTGGGCACCTGGCCCTGGACGCCCGAAGGTCACACCCCAGCCCCATCTAGGAGCGGGAGCCTCCGCACCGCCTGAGGCCAGCAGCTGACCCCACCCTCCCAAGGCCAGGACGAGGCTGAGGTTGCCCCTGCCTGCCCCCAACAGAGCAGCCTGCGGGTGCCACGAGGGTGGGCAGCGGGCCCAGGGCTCGACCCCACAGGGTTGGCCAGCCCAAGCAGCGAGGGCCAGCTGGGCTCTGTGGGGACGATGGCAGGCGGCACCCGGGCACACCCCGAGCCCGTGAGATGTCACCGCGGGGCGGCAGGCGGGGTTCTGGCCAGGGGCTCCCAGACTCGGGAGTTCTGCCGGGCAGGCCCTAGAGCTGGCCCAAGGGGGGCGGCCAGGGCACAGAACCCCGATCTCCACCAGCGCTGGGGCCACTCGTCCCCGGGGAGGCCAGAGTCCACGCCGGAGGGCGGTGCCCACACCTGAGCGGAGCACCCGGCCGGTGTCTCAACAGGGCAGGAAGTTGGGAAAGGGGCGCCCGCACAGCCGGCCAGCGCAGGGCGGGGCCCGGAGCGGGTGCTTGACTCGGGCGGCCCCCCCCTGCCCCGAGAACATGGGGGACAGCGAGCTGCGCCCCGGGCCCGCGCTCCAGACGGCGGGCAGCCCCCGG